TGGAATCTGGGCACATAAGTTGTCCAAATGCTGGAATCTGGGCACACAAGTTGTCCAAATGCTGGTAAACCCGCGGAATCTGAATTTAAGCATTCATTTTTATTGATTTATTGAAGTTGACAGGATACTCGAGGTAGACTAAGAACTTCAAGTTATGTTTCATTATTTTTTCCGAGTTCAATAATGAACTCTGACAAAAAACTAAAAAAACTATTCAACCCAAATAAATATCCATACAAACGAGTATTGACATAAACAAATTGAATTTATTTTGAACAATTGAACAATTTTGAATTCCGTTTTGACCAACGATTTGCCTGCAGCTATCACTGGAAAATGCAGACAAGAGTGATCACTTGCTGAGTTCTAGAAAAGAGATTGAGAGATTGATGAGTTCTAGAAAATCTCGATGTGGACGATCACATCATTCAGTGTTTCTGTCGATTGCTTTCAATAATCCAAAATAGGTGAAGTTCATTTTCAATAATCCAAAATAGCTGAAGTTCCTCCCGCAGCGAATGCGTAAGTGTACCGAGAAGCATTCCAATGTGAACCTACATGTGGCTGGTTGACAGCCTCCCCCACCCCCTCACTACACCCACTGCTTTCGCACGCTATGATCTCACGTTGAGTCTTTAGCACACAGGTGGTTGGTCAATGGTTAAACAGGGAACCAGCTCGGCACGAAGGAACCTAGTCACTAGGTTCGAGAGTGCGGCAAACTCAAGGACAAAGATGGTTTCAGGCCGAACCTCAGATGGTCAGCCGACGCGAAGGCGCTATACAGCTTTCAGGTCGAGACTGAATGCCGGATTTCCTCCTCCGGGCTACCAATGACTCAAATAATCCGGATTTACTTATCCAGCCACCTCTTGGCTAGCCTACCAGATATGTCATCGTTCCATGGCAGTTTACCATAAAGGAACAGTTAAACAGAAAAATAATACTGAGTTATGTTAATGATAAATGGGTAGGATGTGGTATACCCCATTATCTGAACATTAATTTTCGTGTGAACTACGTACTGTAGTTTCATTTTTACATGCGTTCATATCTACGCTAAAATTAAAATGTAAATATAGCTTATATTGATTGTTATATTGTAAAACACATAATTTCTTAGTGAATTTCTTAGTTAGAATTTCTGAACTCGGAAATTATTATGTCTTGAAGGAGGTTAAAGCGTAACCTTGGTTGTTCTAAACGTCATTTTTACTCTAGTCTAAAATCGTGCGTAATGTCTCAGTACCGCCAATGTAAATAAGCAAAATCAAGAATTCTATAAATATATATCTTATTATAATTGGAGACAATTTAAAGCTTCCACTTCCCCCAAACCTATGTCTCAAAATGAATGAATGAAATGAATTATTATACCCTTTGCTCTGGTCTTTCCAAATGTTTCAAAACGCAAAAAAATAAAATAAATGAGAGGGCAAAATTTCAGTGAGCTCTTGCTGTGATATGTTACACTCGGCATCTTTTAAAATCGAAATCTAACTCAGCTCCAAGACGGAAGTTTGACACTTACGATAGTCCGTTAAGAAGCTGCAGGCAAATGAAGTAGAGGTTGCTGAAGAAGGAGAGAAACACTATGCTGCAAATGTGGGTGTCCACCATCTTGACGAGGGCCGACATGGCGGCGTAGGCATGGCGGAGCTGGGCCCAGCGCGCCGGCGTCCACGCCTGCGCAATGACAGCTTTTATTATTTTTATCCACTTTGGTTATTTAAAGTGAAATCTTATAGTATTATTATCAGTTTAGTGGTAATTATTAAATAAATAAATAAATAAATAAATAAATAAATAAATAAATAAATAAATAAATAAATAAATAAAAATAGAATAAAATAAATAAAAACAAGTAAATAGAATAAAATAAATAAAAACAAGTAAATAGAATAAAGTGACAGAATAAGGCAGCGCGAGGCGGCGCACCTGCAGGTCGACGGAGGCGACGTGCCTGTTGAGCGCGGCGAGGCGCGAGGCCAGCGCGCCGCTCACCACGATGACGAAGACGTCGTTGAAGTTCCAGGCGAAGGTGCCCAGCTCGCTGGCCGCCACGATGGCCACGCCCAGCCACGTGCTGTAGGCGGCGGCGCGCTCAGACGAGAAGAGGAAGGCGTGCGAGCGCCGGATGTAGAGGCGCAGGAAGTCGCACGGCAGCCCCTCGTCGCGCCGCTCCAGGCACTCCGGGATGTGCACCAGGATGCTGAACAGGTGCTCCACTGCGCAGGCGGACCCCATGCCTCAAGGAAGGGGCTGTTGTAACGTGTACGAAGAAGATGGCAGGAAAAGTGGGCGGGGCCAAGGATGAAGGCAGTTCATTAGAAAGACGTTTGCTGCCTTAGCACACCGTAGCTCTGGTGGAGAATTGAGCAAGAGCTGTTTGTATATGTGTGTGTGTATGAGATGGAGAGGGAGAGAGAGAGGAGGAGGAGGCTGAGAGAGGGAGGGAGAGAAAGGGAGAGAAAGGGAGAGAAAGGGAGAGGAAGGGAGAGGAAGGGAGAGGAAGGGAGAGGAAGGGAGATGAAGGAAGAGGAAGAGGAAGGAAGAGGAAGGAAGAGGGAGAGGAAGGGAGAGGAAGGAAGAGGAAGGAAGGAGAAGAAGGGAGAGGAAGGGGAGAGGAAGGGAGGGGAGGGAAGAGGAGGGAGGGGGGGAGAGGGAGGGAGAGGGGAGGGAGAGGGAGTGGAGGGAGAGGTGAGGGGAGAGAGAGGGAGAAGGGAGGGAGGAGAGGGAGGAGAGGGAGGGAGGGAGAGGGAGGGAGGGGAAGGGAGGGAGGAGAGGGAGGGAGGGAGAGGAGGGAGGGAGAGGGAGGGAGGGAGAGCGGAGGGAGGGGAGGGTGAGGAGGGAGGGAGGGGTAGGGGAGGAGAGGGAGAGGGGGAGAGGGGGGAGGGAGAGGGGAGAGGGAGGGAAGGGAGAGGGAGCGGAGGGAGAGGGAGGGAGGGAGAGGGGAGAGGGAGGGAGAGGGAAGGGGAGAGAGAGGGAGAGGGAGGAAGGGGGGAGAGGGAGGGAGAGAGGGAGGGAGGAAGCAGGGAGGGAGGGAGGGAGGGAGGAGGGAGGGAGGAGAGAGGAGGGAGAAGGGAGGGGAGGGAGGGGAGGGTGAGAGGGAAGCGAGGGAAGGGGGGAAAAGGGTAGGGAGGGGGAGGGAAGAGTAGGGGAGGGTGAGAAGGGGAGGGGGAGAGGAAAAGGGAGGAGGGGGAGAAGGGAGGGGGAGAGGGAGGGGGAGGGGAGGGAAT